TTCCATCAGGAGCTTCTGGTTTGCAGACTCTGTTGCAGAGACAGGGGGTGTCATATCAGCTAGACTGGTTCACATCCACAGCAAGTTCAGGGCTCGCAGTCTACTTAGGAACAGCCTGTAGTCAGCAACTGATATACTCAGATATGTCTGCCAGAAGCAGAAACCTGTTTAAGACATGTTTAAACTGGGAACAGAGGTTAAAACTTATTTACTGAAGCCCACAGTGCAGAAAAGGCAGATATCTGGATATCTGTTTAAATAGCAAGAACATATTTATAATTTTGAGTCCTAGCAATAACTACAGATTTGTGCTAGAAGTATTTTCTTCTGTCCAGAGAGCCAGGTATTGATTGGACAGAGGTGCCTTAGGCCTGATGAAAAGCCCTTTAAGTTTATACCTAGATGACAACCAAAATAAACCTAAAAACCATGAACTTGTAACTGAACAGTAGGTAATCCCTACTTTATCAGCTAACATGCTGACTATAGTCTATAGTGGATCTGACTGTCTGATGCTGTCAAGCAATATTTCAGAGATTTGAGAAGGGTATATTTTATAGAGTTTCCGAATCTATTAAAAAGTGACAGAAGCCAGTTAGAAGCCAGTCCATATACAGTTAGCCATACCCAAGTCTCTCCATTATCGCTGGAGGTAGAAGTATCAAAGAACAGCAATCTTCGACAGGCCGATAAGGTGGGAGTTTTTTTTTCTCTGTGGAAGAGGGACATGGGAAAGACTGATCTTGTTTTGTCTAGGCAAAGGGGTACAATCAATTTTCCAGTGTCCAGCAACTTTGTCCACAGTCTTGGCCAGGTCCTGGCAGGCAGCAGGTATCACATCTGAGCATCTCACTCTGGTCAGCATCATCATCATCCAGACATAGGAACTGGGGTGCCTCATAATCTTCTTTGGAGACTTTGGGTCACTGTCAGGATCTGGCAGTCTGTCTGTAACTGTTTGGCCAGGTCCTGGCAGGCAGCAGGTATCACATCTGAGCATCTCACTCTGGTCAGCATCATCATCATCCAGACATAGGAACTGGGGTGCCTCATAATCTTCTTTGGAGACTTTGGGTCACTGTCAGGATCTGGCAGTCTGTCTGTAACTGGTTTTTGTTTTTTGTTTTTTGGTTTTTTTTTTTTTTTTTTTTTTTTTTTTTTTCGGGGCGGGGTTTTTTTTTGTGGTTTTGGGGCCCTTCTCGCCCCCC